TAAATTTTATCATAAAGATCTATATTATTATTATTGCTTAACATTTCATTTTTTTTTTCTAAAATTTCCTTTTTCTCATTCTCATAATTACTATTATATTTATTTATTATTTTAATTGCTTCTAAATATAATTTAGAAGGTGTGTACGTGGGTGGATTATCCCAAAAAAAATTTAAACCCATTTTCCTTTCTATATTATTATTATTATCATCTATACTTAAAAATTTAATAAAATCTTTTAATTCACTTAAATTATAAAGTATATAATTTGTATTATCTTCTAAATTCAAATCATTTGGTACTGGCTGTATACCTAGCCATTTTGAATTTTCACAGAGTTTAACAGCCTTTTGTGACCACAAATTCTTTCTGATTTCTATAGAATCATTTAATTCAACCTTGATATAAATATATTTTAATTAATAAAATGTATAAAATAAAAAAATTTTAATTAATAAATATATTTAATTAATAAAAATATAAAATAAAAAAATTTTTAATTAAATAATTACATCATAGTTTTTTCCTACAGGTAAAAAATTTATTGATTGGGATTCAATAATTTTGTATAAATTTCTAGACATTTTTTGAGATTATTGTTATAAAAGATTAATTTTTATTTCAAAAGAATAATAAATTTTTTTGATTTTGTTGTGTGTAAAAAATTGAATTTTTATTTTAGAAAATAAGAATTTTTAAAGGTATGTTACATAAATAAACAAATAAGCAAAAAATAGTGATTCATAAACTAATTAATTAGTTCAATTTCACATGACGTATATCAGGAATTTTTCTACAAGGACCATGTTTATATATATCAGCAACAAAAAATTGATTATGACATTTAAATCAAATGGTCATATTTTCAGTAAAACACTTTTCTGTTTTTATTTATTAATTTACTCATAATGATAATTATAATAAACAATAATTGGCTCAGACAGATTCTATATAACAGATCATTTAGGAAAAAATATTCACTATAGCAAGTCCATTATAACAAAGTTCATTATAATTTGAAGATCAATTATTGTTTATCAAATATACAGAAGCTTTCTGTATATTTCGTTCTCTATGTCTAGGTTCAGTATAATTATTTATTTATCAAATATGCAGAACCTTTCTGTATATTTTGTTCTGTATATATTGAAGATCAATTATTTATTTATCAAATATGCAGGACCTTTCTGTATATTTTGTTCTGTATATATTGAAGATCAATTATTTATTTATCAAATATGCAGAACCTTTCTGTATATTTTGTTCTGTATATATTGAAGATCAATTATTTATTTATCAAATATGCAGGACCTTTCTGTATATTTTGTTCTGTATATATTGAAGATCAATTATTTATTTATCAAATATGCAGAACCTTTCTGTATATTTTGTTCTGTATATATTGAAGATCAATTATTTATTTA